CCGGTCCCTGGTGCCCAAAAGGTTGGGGACCTCTACTTTAGATCTTGTCTTGCCTTCCTGCTTTCACTATTAGTTGAGCCAGGACCTTACACCTTACACCAAATCTCAAAGCCCTGGATGGTTCTGACTGGAACTCTGTGTGAGGGCCAAAACTTTGATTCAAAAACTCTCAGTGAAGAAACCTGGTCCACTTCTAGTCTGTACTCAAAAGGGATTTCACTGAGGAAGAGTTTATTTCTTCATTCACATTCATAAGCTCACAACAGCTGTATATTTACTATAGACGTCTGAGGTTAAAAAAAAAGTCAAAATGGGAAATCTCAATCCACAATTAAAGGGCAAGACTTCAATTGCAGAGTTATGGCTCTGATTTTGATTTTTTTTTTAACCCCTTTCCTGGAGATACCCCCAAAGTATTCTGAATTTTTGTTGACTTCCAGCAGAACAGAACTACTGTTTTACTTCTTAAAAAGCAAGAATTTGCTGAGAAACAAAAGGTACTACATAGCTATTTCCCTGTGCATGTTTGCCTTTTGTAAATTCTCATAGTTTTTAAATAATTTACATAACAAATTGTCAGTGAATATTACAATAAGTATATTGCATTGCATTTCATATTCAGGAAGATGTTTAGAACATTTTTTCATCTTCTCTTACAGTGCAAAAAATTAATCAGCATTTAATTTTAGATATCTCAAGGTCTTTGAAAAATCTTTCAGTTCTATAAAATACTAAAATCTAACTATTTTAGAAAAAGTCCAAGACTATCTGAAAATCCCTGCCATCTCTTTGCAAATGATGAAACAGTATGAGGCGCAAAAAGAAATGCCAACTAACATGAATGACATGCATTTGTGTACATATATGTATAAGGGACTCTATGCTGCTGGTACAAGCAAAGCAGATATTAGGCACAAGGATTTGCCTAATGTAAGAGTGTGTCTGAGTACACAAGTGTGTAAATTCTGCCACAGGTCTATTCTCACAAAGAGGCATTTTTTTCAGTACTAAGTGTACTACATGCTAACTCCTTATTTTCATACTTGGTTCTTAAGTTCTAGCCTTCTTTTTCTTTCAAAGTTTAACATGGCTCTCTGTTATCTGGATAATCCATAACCTCAGGTTTTCAAAGAAACTTCACAATCACAGCACAAGAGAGGACAACTGCTGGGTAAAAGCAGCAAGCGCAAAGGAAAAGCACAGAGTTGGATAGTTATTCATAATAGAGAGATTGAAGAAACAAAATTTTCTCCTCTGCTTTTATGCTTTTTAAATGAATTTGGGATGAGTAATAAGTTTGCCACTTCTGTTTTCTGACAAAAACACACACAGCGTTCTTTTAACAACCACAGTGATTTGTTTATCAAGCACAATAAAATTCATGATGGCCAGGTTCCATTCTGTTGTAAGTCACGGACTACCTGTATTTCTAAATAATGTTTGCTGCAAAACAGAAGGGGGCTACTACTTTCCTACAGATATCTGGGCTGGAAATCTGGAGCAAGACAGTGGAGTAAATGAGTTTAAAATAGCATTAATCTTTTAAGTAAGCTACCAAAGCAATATTACAAATATTGACAGAAAAGCTTGATATCAGATAGTCTAATATAAACTCAATAGGAGAAACTACCAATAGATTAAAAAAATGATGCTTGTATGTTACAGAACTATTTAGTTTTATGTCCATAACCACAAGACAGTCATTCTTTTTCAGAAAAAACAGATGCTTACTAGGGCTGCAATCAGTATTGTACATTGTGAATTCATTTCATTTATTCTCCAATGAAAACCCCATCCCAGAAGGAACACTGGTGAATCATATCCTGATCATACAGTAAAATTTTATACTTCTCTACTAAACACTGAGCAGAGAGCAGCAGCAAGCCTTCAAGACCGGGCTGCTTCAAGAACCTAGAAATACAACTGATGTCACAAAAGACATGCTGAAAGAGCTCATGAAGCTGAGAACTAGAGAGGGTGCTAGAAGAGAGAGGAAATCTAATGGGACTTGCCACCAGCAATTTAGGGCCACTTAAGTTACCATTTTTAATTTACAAGAAAATTTGGAAAAAGACTTTTCAATGGGGGAAGTCTATAAAACTCCTGGAAGATAAGCACTGCAGTGCCTCATGGAATGAAGAATTGGGTTGTAAAGGTTATGGGGACCTTAAAAAGAATGCTATAGGAGCAAGGTCATTCTGTCCTTCATTGGAAGCTCCATCTGCAACTATAGTGTTGCTCTTCAAATTACAAGTTATATAGATGTTTAGAGAGGGAAGGAGAGATGTAGCACCAGGGACTCAGTGCTGAAAGTGAGCACTGTTACACTTGGTTCAAGACCCACTTTTCTTTTGCAGGGCAGAAGAGGCTGTTCCCTCCAACAGCACATGTAAGCTGGCGTCTCTCCTTTTGGTCTTTTCCCAGTGCGAAAGGTTCTGGGATGCTGGATAGGAAGATCTAGATATTCCTTCTTATTACAGTTAATTGTTTCACTGAACTCAGTGAAGTTTTCTTATGATCTGCCATGTACAAGGTCTATCTTATTTATTTAAGATGCAGTGACATTCTAGATCAGTGGTTCTCAACCTGTGGGTCGGGATCCCATTTGGGGTCGAATGACCATTTCACGGGGGTCACCAAATAAGGCTGTCCGCCATCTTTTCTCCCTTTCCTTTGGCCACGCCCCTGGCACCTGGTGATGTATAAGTGGTTGGGGGTCACCACAACATGGGGAACTGTATTATGGGGTCGCGGCATTAGAAAGGTTGAGAACCACTGTTCTAGATTATTAATAATAATAAAAAAAGGCCTTATGCCTGTGGTTGTTAATCCCTGGAAGCAAAAATATATGAAAAACAGAAGTATTTCTGAGAAATAATCCACCCGTGCTTTGAAATACTAAATGGAAGGACAAACTCTCTGCTTGAAATACTTCTGAAAAATTTGGTAAGAGGATTCTATATGGTAATGCCTGAAGGATCTTACTTGGACCACATTTTTATGTGCTACATTCATGCAATTACTTACACTTGTGATTGAAGAATCCATTGTACAGACTGCCCTGAAATAGGGCATTTCCTCATGATTTGTTGGAAGAGGAAAATGAACTCTTAATAATGCAGCTTTAAAACAAAATGAACGCAGGCTTATCAGGGTTTTGGAATTGTCCACTGAGTGTTGGTATATTTTCTGTAAATGCTTATGTACTGGAAACTTTGAACAACAGAGAAAACAACATAACAAAAATCTGAAATAAACAATGAAAAACTATGAAAAAGTTATCAGGATTTATTTGTTTGTTTGAAAGATGCATGACTTTATAGGATTGTGCAGTGCCTAGCACTCAGTCTCCCAAAGTTGCAAGGTCTAAACCTCTGGGAGAGTAAATCTGAAGCGCTGCCAAACCATATTGTCTTAAACTACCTTTTAATCAGTTTTTAACAGAAGTTTGTTTGACAGCTTTGAAGCCTAATTGGCCATATCACTCTTGTCTCTCCCTTCATTTTAAAGTATATAGTCAGCAGAATAGCAGTTACATGGGCCTATGCTGGTCTCTTGTCTCCCCCCCCCCACTTCCTATTGCTGAAGTGGGGAACAGGTTGTACAATGGGGCCAAGATAGAGCTGGAATCCTGTTGAACCTTCAGGGATTTCAATCAAAGAGGCACCATCTCTGGGTGGCTATCTAACAATTCTAGCCTTGAAAAAGGTAGAGAGAGTCATGAGAGAACTGTTTGTACACATTAGAAATAAATCCATGGGCATTCGGTGTTCTAACAGGGGATCCTGAATTGGATTTGAATTTAAGGTATTTGAAAGACAGAATCCAAATTGAAATACCCATCTCCTCCTCTAACAACCGTGCATGCTTAAACACTACTGCTACTCTTCTGAAAAGAAAAAGAAAAGGCAATCAACTCCATACAGCAACAGTCCCCAACCTTTGCAGCTTGGCAGACTGGCTGGGGAGAGGAGAAGGGAACTGAACCACGCAAGTGGCAGGCTGGTGCACATGAGCACATGCAGCCCTTGTGTGAGTGGCAGGTCAATACACACAGATTGACTTACATGAGCAGCAGGCCAGTGCGCACATGCATGACTGCCCACCACTCATGCAAATTGTGCTGTGCGCATGCACACACGCTTCAGCCACTCGTGTGATCCCTTTCTGAATACAGCATTTCTTTTCTGCCATTTCTTTAGGACAAAAGCAACCTGATGTTTTGCACTGTTGTTTTAAATTGTTTTATTTAATAGCATCATTAAGCAAAACACAGGACAGAACATTCTATTTTCTATTTAATCACAGCTAGATGCAAATTTTATTGCAAAACTAGTCCTTTCCCCAGTTCGGCATATTGTTTTTGAAGTTTGCTCTATCTTTTTTTAATGACCTTCCATCCCATCTACACATATCACATTATTTTTCCAATATAATCAGTCAATATGGCACTTAGCCTACTTCTTACCCTCTTTTTAAATTATAGGCCAAAAAATATGAGGAATATGCAATTCAATAAGGAATGTTTCAGCCTTGTGGTATTGTCTTTCCCTGATCAGCAGAATGGAGAACTTGGTAAAATATTAACAATTATTATTAATTAAATAATGAAAAAATGTAATTTTTGCATAATACTGACCACTATTGGAATAATTAACTGTGTAACCCCCTTCCAGACAATTGAGATGGAAAAGAAGGCTAGTCTACACCCTCAAATAACGCCTGGGGTGAATGAGACACATTCAGATGTTTTAAAGTTTTCTGGCATGACTTTTTCTGGACTCAATTCAGAATAAAGTATTCATAAAAATGAACAGAAAATCTTTTGAAAACACTATTTAATATGATAGTATGATTAGCAATGGGAAGTTTCAAAGACTATTGCCCTGGTTTTGTTAAATCTATTTTCCTATATTTAGCTTTTTTTTTTGTATTATTTCACGTGCATATAAAGTTAACAGAATTTTGTCAAGGGATGAAAGGAGATGAAAGAAACTTACCCAGGTGGTATTTTGGGTAACAATTTGATATTTGGCCAGCACTACATAACCGCTTATTTCTTTGTCTTCTATTCAGCTCAGTGAACTTGCATTGTGTCTTCTTTCGCTTCTTCATTTTTTTAGGAGTCTCCATTCGGCCATCCTCAAAAGCAACACGTTTGCTTGACTTCTTGACTTCAGTGATCAAGCTGGAACACCTGCTTCTGCTCCCTCCATTCCTTTCATTATTATCAGCCATGCTCTGCTGAGCAGAGGGGGACCTCAAAGGACAATCATTTTTTTCTGGGCAGTGGATGTTGCAATTATCCACAGATTCTGAAGTACAGATGGCAAAGTTTTTATTAAACACTTGCTTTTTACCCACCGGATTAATTTTCCTCAAAAATATTCGACAATCCTTAAAAGTTTTCCCTCTCCATGTATCTTCATTACATTCATTAGGGGCATGTGCTTGTCCAATACTTTGCTGATTGCCATATGTGGATTTACTACTTGGCCTACAGTTTGAGACTGAGTTACACTTTGTGCTGAGGTCAGATAATTGTACATCTTGCTGAAGAAATGCATCTCTGATTTCATTTCCAGTTGCTGAAGTGATTCTGTAAGATTCCAACAAAGTTGTTGGTTGAGTTTCTACTGGGTCATTCTCAAGGCTTGTACATATTTTGTTAAGTTTCCTGCTTGCATTAGTCAAACATTGACTTTGGCAGAAAAATTGCAAGTTTTTCTTTTTTGATTTCCAGTCAGATGTTCCATGATTATACAGTTTTTTCACTTGTCGCCAACGATCATGTTGCAAGTTCTCAAATTTGGTTCTCAATTTAGCTAAGGTGAAGCTATGCTCCCTGCTTAAGACTTGAGATCTGACAATTTTATGTAAAAGCTGCAACTTTCCTGTTGATTTTGAAGGCGTAGACAGTGCAAATTTTTTAAAGTGCTTTCTCAAAGGACTAGTATTACAATCATATTGTCTTGTTCCCATTTTGAATTGCCTTGTACTAATTACTTCAAAAGGATTACGAGCATTTGCTTTTCTCACTAGTGATAGTGATTGTGTTTCTGTTGTTTGCATAAACCATGCACATAGGTCATCTATACTGCATTTTTTCTGGAACAGCATTCTTATAGGTGAATTTTCTAGTCCCAAAATGCAGGAGTCCAAAGGATTTGATACTTCAATGCTACTGTCTTGTTCAATATGGCATGCTCCATTATACGACCATTTCTCATATTCTTCTCCATTCACATGCAACCAAGTCTTAGTTATCTGGTCATATCTACTGTTTAGTTCTTTTAACAAAGAATCATTAGAAATAGAAGGATCCCACCATCTAAGGGAATTGGATGAAATTATGGGATTCAAAGTCATTTCACCAATGGATCTGAGTTTACTATTCTCAGAACTACTTTTAGCATCATCTGCCCTTGTACTTATTGAGGTATGCATGGGTGGCATTTTTGAATGCTTGATTTTGTGATCTTTACCATTTCTCAAGCAGAGTTTACATGGTTTATTCAAAAAGGCACGTTTACAAGAAAATGAGCTAGAAGATGCTGATGAATGTACAAAAGGCAATGATGGTCTTCTAAGAGAGTGTCTCAAATGAGTTTCAGACCTTTTTGAAGCAATAATAATCTTGGGTGAAAAATTCCCTGCTTCATTGCAAAGGCTTTTAAAATCATCTGTTTTATTGCATTGCTTAGCATCCTTCTTAGATGATTCATTTCTTTCTGACACAGCTTCTTGTTCTAAGGGAGGCAGGCAGCTGTTGATACACACTTTTCTTTCCTGAGATGAAATCTGATTAACAGTCACTGATATGCCAGATATTTTTACTTTTGCTGGCCTACCAGGTTTTCTAATTATATTTAAAGGCTTTTGGTTTCGTCTCATATTGCTGCAATGGGATGGCAGCACAGGGCTGCTTTCTAGTGGTCTAACATCCTCATAGTCAGATGTAGAGGTCTTTTCTGTTGTAGAATATTGCATATTTTTAGTTTTTGGCAAATTGTTCCTAGCATCTGAGCTCAGTATTATTTGATCAGGGTCACATACAACACTGCAGTAGCTGTGAGGTCCTGATACAGTTTTAACTATATTTAAGTTACCTTCTGAAACACACCTCTTAATCCTTCGAGACCTTCCAAAAACAACAGTTACTGTAATATTTTTGTAAATGTTCTCTTCCTCTAGGCATTCTGTGTTAGAGTTGGCATTTTTTGCAACACCAATGGAGTCCTTCCTATAACTACCATTACTCACATCAGTTTTTGGTTTGGGAGGTCGTCCAATCGGACGCTTAATTTGTTTTACAACCTGAGGACCAATTTTTTTGGGTCTCCCAGGTTTTCTTTTCAGAGAGGATCCACTGTTGTCTTGTTCCACAGGCTTAGGATTGGTTTCAGTGGCAACTATTGTAGGAAAACCAGTTTTCATTTTATTTTTATTTGTATTTTCATTATAGCTGCATTCATCAATAGAACCTTTTTCATCAGAATCCTTTGCCTCCAACTGTTTTGCCAACACCTTATTTGTTTTCTCCTGAAGAGAATAAAGATCTATGTTTAATTTGGATGAATCATTTACAGAGGTTAGTGTGTATTTGACTCCTTCACTGCTATTAATCTTAGAAAGGAACATAAGTTTTATAGGGCTAGTGTAATTCAATGTTGATGAATTATCCCCCAGATGCAAATTTCCTTGGGATTCCTCCTTATTTAAGGTCAACATGCTTGAATCTAAAATTGAGGGTTTCAAAAGTCTTTCATATTTTTCTTCACAAGATATATTTTCTATTTTTGGCACACAATAATTTTTGTTGCTATTTCTATCTGTTAAAAGACTTTGTGATAACACATATTGTCCCTTACTTCCAGTTTCATTCATGCTAATAAGGCCACTTTTAGATTTATTGTTGGCATCAGAATTTTGAAGGTCTTTTATTTTGCCCAATATTTTATAACCATTACACATGGGCTGTGTGGCCTTTTGAGCCATATTTATTGTATCTTCCAAACGCTTTACAACAACATGTAGATTGGTTCTCTGCATAATCTTATTTATATTTTCATTGCTACATGACTTAACTTGAAAATCTTTGAGAATTTTATCCCCTTCTATGCTAGCCACAGATTTTGATTTTATGTTTTTCCTTAATAAAAAATTGTTTGCTACATACAAAGAGCACCATCTAGGAGAGAAAATATTATGTTTGGTCCTCTCCAGGCCTCTATCATAATCTCCTTTCACACCAGCTGGTTCCACATGTAGTTCAATTCCACATTGTGTTTTAGCCAAAACCGTTTGAGTGGTTGTAGAGCTGTTTGCTGAAAATGTTATAAAATCAGAATTGGTTTGTGAGCTGAGAAGAGGTAGTTCTATTGTTTCCTCTTGACCTAGTGGCAAAAGCTTTGACTTAGTAGAAGAAAATGTCCCATCTTTATTTTCATAGCCTTGCAAATCAAGCTGTTTTAATGTAAGGTATTTGTCATTTTTTGTATATTTTTTAACTTTTCTCTGTGAATTTGACTTCTTTCTTAAGAAAGTTTCATCAAGGCTAGCCAACTCTCTTTTGATTTGCAAAGACTTTCGTCTAAATAGACATGAATTGGGAGAACTATGCATTGCAAACAAAGTTTCTTGTCGTTTACGAAATCTTGTTTGGATAATTTTATTTTCCACTTGCTTATCATGTTGATTCAGTAATTCTATAAAATTATAATCATTTGCCTTAGCATCATGTAAAAGAGATGTAATGAAGTTCCGTAATTTAGAATCGGTTTGTGTTCTTCCATCGCTCTTAGGTAATTTTGCCAATATTTCTGTATCAGTAGTTTCTATTGATTTCAACTTCTCATTGATTCGATAAATTAAATCCTGAAACGCATCAGCATTTTCAACCTTTTCAAGCTTATCAGAAATTGTGAGGCTATTTTCTTGATTCACACATACAATGCCTTCCTGCAGGTTATTGGGCAATTCTGCAATATATGTTTGATCTTTCTCCCTGTGTTCAGCGGGAAACAGTAAGGGAGGTTGGTTACAGTTTTTTCCAGATCTGTTATCTTCAGACAATTCCTTTGGATAATTGCACCCATCAGCTTCCACAGGAGACAATGGAGGTGGTGAAGGGCTGCGGCCTTGGCTACCTCTATTAATTTTTTGTCCTCTTGAAAAGAGGTATGTATACAACTCTGCCTGGGTAGAATGGACCTTACACAGTTGTAGTTGTTTGGGACAACACCCATGAGGATGGCAAAGTAGAGAATTTTCTTTGTTCATCACTGTGTTAACATACCCAGGAGCCATTGAGTGGTATGTCAATAAATTCTTACTTGGTCTTACATTTTGTGAACTGCATCTTTTCATCAGCATGTTGTCATCACAACTGAAGCCTGGAATATGAATCTCATCTTCCTCTCTCTCAGAATATTTAGGATAAGGCAGTTGACTACTGCAACCTGAATAACATGATTCTTGGATGAAAAATTTCAACATGGCTAAAGTCTGATGCCAATGATATGAGCATAAGGAAGCCAACACCTTGTTTAGAGTAGAATTTCCCGTTTCCAATTTAGTTGTTTCCTCTAGTTTTGCACCAGCAGCTGTACTTGAACTGAAAACATAAAGCAGATCGAAACAAAAAGTAAATTACAATTAAATATGGAATATATAAAACCTAATGAAAATATGGTATCATTCAAAGCTTATAAAAATGTTATACTTATAAAAATGGTACACTTCCACTCAATGCACTTTGTAAAAAAAAGTTAACAAAAAAGTTTAGCAGGATGTGTTTTTCCCATATAATCATTCAGTAGCATCCTGTTTACTATTTCAAGAGCAATTAAAGAAATAAAACTTTTTAAAATTCTACAAACTATATAAAAAGACATTATGGTTGTGATCCTATATTTTAATCATATGCAAATTATATTGAAATCAGCAAGGACTCAGATTGCTTCCATGTAAACTCCACTTTAAAATAAGAAATTCCACGTATCCTAAAAGTACATTTTGAGCTATACATGTACACAGCACAGAGATGACACTTAAGTGTCATATTTATGGAGGAGTCTGACAGTTTATTGAATAGCCCCTTATTTTTAATAATATTTAGGATTAGGGAGGAGTACATAGACAAACTGTCATTTTGAAGCTTTTCTATGAAAGGTCCAATGGTATAAAAACCCACTTCCTTTTTATGAATGTAATTAGTACATTAGTACAGAGGTCCCCAACCTTTTCAGCACCAGGGACTGGTTACATGGAGTTTTTTCCGTGGACTAGAGCGGTTGTGGTTTTATGTGCCACTTGCATCCCACAGATGGGGCTTTGCTTGTTTGTGCGGCCCAGTAGCTGGCATGCCACAGCCCAATACTGGTCCACGGACTGTGGGTTGGGGACCCCTGCATTGTATATTTAATTCTCTTACTACATTAATGAAAATTAAAATGTGCTTAACTTGATCTACCTATTTGCTTAAATTGATTGATTTCTTTTTAATTGAAGGTAAGCTATCTTCTCATAGAATCATTTCTTTTCAAGTTTTTATTTCCCTGTCTTTCTTTTCTTGTGTATAACTGGAATTTAACCCAAGTGGCCTTCCCAGGACCTTTAGGGACAAGGTTAACAAACTAATATATAATATATGGAGGGGGGGTTGTAAACCAAACTATACAAAGAACTTTATTTTGTTGATTATTATAGTGGCTTTCAGATGGCAGATATATTTTTATCTGTATATATTTTAGTTTACACAACTATATACACAAAGTGATTTATACACACACACAATGTGTATAAATGTGTCTCCATCTAGAAATAAATAAATGAAGTTAGATATAACTAAGAATTTACCTACAAGACCTACTGCTTGAAATATTTCAACTACAAAATATTTAAAATTGTTACTACTTACCAAGTCATTAATTCAAATTGAAAAGTTAACTGTTCACAACAAAAAGTAAATACTGATTTAAGGAGAAAAATTGCACAATGCAGCCTCAAATATTAATGTCTATTAATACTCTTAAATGTAGCAATATACAATTCTGTTTCAGAAAAGTAATGTATTTCAAACAGATCACCAAACTCTGAACATGACACACTATTTGTATTACAGTACTAATCTTCTAGATCTGGTAATTACAGCTCTAACTACATAAGATTCAAGGGGAGGGGAAGTATTGACCTAATATGCCTTATATATATACTTAAAGTAAAAGTATTTCAAATACAATTCTGTTTCAGAAATTATGTATTTCAAACAGACACCAAACTCTGAACATGACACACTACAGTATTAAGTACTAATCTTCAGATCTGGTAATTACAGCTCTAATATATAAATATATATATATGAATATATATATATATATATATATATATATATCTATATATATATATATATATATATATATATATATATATATATATATATACACACACACACACACACACACACACACACACACACACACATACATATATATATATATAAAATACAAGTATCACCTTCCTCTCAGAAGTTGCACAGCATAGTTCTAATCTATAGAATAACTTCACCCACAGCTTTCCCAGCAATAAAGTAAAATCGACTCCAAAATTACAACTATGATAGTAACATATCAGGGTTTCTGGCTAAATAGTTGAAGAAATGACTGCTTTGATTCCTGCCTTTCAGAAGAAACCAATTAATAGAATGCAACAGCAATACCATGTCTCTGGAAATCTGTGTAAAATCATATTACCCATTAGGTTGAGTCACTGCTAATCTGAGATTCAAAGGCATTTAGATGGCTGAATGATGTGATCCTTCAAAGGGTGACTTTGTCTACAAAGTATGGAAGTTTCTTTGCATGGAAGCACTGACCATAAAGAGTCCTGCAAAGCAGGGCTGATGAAACTATTTAGTAAATACACTGTAGGCAAAAATGATACATCTTGCTCTTAACTCTGCATGTATAACTGTATTTATGAATAACCCTGTTCACACAGTATGCAAGCATTTAATATGGAAAGTGATCTTTATATCTCTTCAATAACTCGAGATCTGTCCCTTCACAATCTTTATTAAGTTTTACTTGCTGATCCTCAGTGCACACATTTAGCAGACATGCATATACTATAGTATATATGTACCATCAGTTCAAACTTTGTAATCTTTTCTTCTCCTGTATGATAATAGAAAATTGTAAAGTTATTAAATAGAATGTGTTTATTAATATATTTTCTAGCGTCAGTCACACAATTCTGAAGTCCTAGAAACTGAGTCTCAATTGAACTATGCAGTTTGCAAATGAAAATTGACAAACATAATTTAATTATAATGCTACAATTCAATTCCTTAAAATTCCTAACAAATCAAGGGCACAATTATTAAGTCTTATTGCACAAAGAAATGTATGGATGTGCAAAAGAGCAGCACTTTATCTATTAAGTATCTTTCCTGGCGTCCAATGTGCCTGCTTTATGTTTCAGTTTGCACTGCCATTTTACCAATAAAATTATGCCCAGAGAGTAAACCAAGTAAGCCAACATGAAGCATTTTTCTTTTAGTGAATGACCAATCAATCACACATCAGTGTTGTAAATTTATGTGCAAAAGCATTGAAGTGCTTTACTAAAAATTACAACATAGAAACACATTAACAAATTCATACAATCAGATCTGGAAATATAACAACACAAAGAGGAAACAGAATTACAGTACATGTACAACACAAGACAAATACATGGAATTCATTAGAAAAGATTGTAATAAATAATTCATGAATTATAGTGCAATTGATTTATGCATAAATAGAACTAATTGCCTAGATATCAGTTATTAACAAAATCTGTCAAAAATCAAGGCAGCCACAGAGTTTTACTAAATTACTGCAACAATGGAAATACTGCAATTTAAAACAAAAACAAAACACAAATACAGGTATTTGTACTGTAAACAACTAAAAAAAATCAGTCTCACTAAAGTTATTATACAATTTAATTTAATATAAAATAGTCATTAGCTACCAGAAATGGTTTAAACAATTTACTGAGCAGTTCTAAAAACAGAGGCACTGTTTTTTTCTTTTTTAATATAAAATACTTGAGAAACATTCAAATAAGTAGAAAGCAAGAAAGCCTGCTTTCACCTTCATTTAAAAGTCTACTGAAATATGAATTTTCAGAAACTTGTTGATTTCTAAGTAGCGACTGGTAACTGAATTTGAAAAGTACTTTAAAATTATAATTTAAATAGCCTTCAGAATGGATACACTGGAGTGGATGAGGGGGAGTTTATGTATTTCCCTGCCTTTTGTCAGTTTTATAATCAAAGGTTCAGCCTATTCATTAGAAATAATTAACATTTCTTTTTAAAACTTACAGGTTGAACATTATCTACAAACTATCAAAAAATATTTTAATATACTATTTCTGGCCAAAAATAAATACAAGTACGAAAATGCTGAAAATTAATTATAATATTACATACAAAACTACCACTGTTAAAGTCAATAGCAAAATGATCCCTGATTTTATGAATCCTGTTACTTTTTGGTCAGGCCACCATTTAAATGATATTAAAAGAGTACTGCAATTTGTCTTTGATATAGACATGAATTTAATATTGTCTAAAACATTTAAAAAACAGGCTGGGAACAAACAAGTCCCACTCTTGAATGGGTGTATTCTTCCTCCTTTCCTGCTCATCCTATCCTTATCTCATAACCTTCAGGAATAAGCCTGGGGGACAGTAAAGAGTTGTAACAGGAGGTTGGATGTAAAAGCTTTGTGTCCCAAGTGCCTATATAAGCAATGAATCATAGGTCCTAGCAGTCCTCCAAATAAACCTGAAATCTTATTTTCTATTGGGGAAATATATTATTAATGAATAATCTTAATCCTGATGAACATATGGCTTAGTTCTTAGATGACTTGACAAATGTTAATCTCATCTGTGGTATGACTTTTAATTTTTGAGCTTGTTTCCCATGCAGTTGAGCTAAAGAAAATTCAGCACAGATAATCTAAATTCTCAATGAACTGATTACATGGTTGTGTTGCTTTTATTCTGTTAAGTAACCCCAATTATTAGGGGTCAAATCCCTTCCTAGTTTATTTTGAAATTACCAAGTTGAATGTGAATATACTGTAGATGGTACAATTCACAGAATTTAAAGAATGAACTCTTATATTAAGTGTAAGTTTAACATATTTAGTCATCCATATATGGGAAAAAGAACACTTTTGGAAATATTAATCTTTCCCATAAAAATCTAGTTTTTTCAATGAAAAATTGATGTCTTCATTCATATACAGAAATGGTAGGAAAGGACAAAGTTATGTAATATATAAAATTAAATGAGTATGATCCTTCTGGTAAGCAATTGCTTACACAATGAAATTGCTGTAGAGCTCCACAGAAATTTATTCTTCCCTTTGCTCCCTAACTAAAGATGCACTGAGGCATGTGATTAATCGATCAATTAATCAATCAGTCAGTAACTGCAATTTTTTGAATTTCCTACCACCCTGATAGATATTTGATAAAGATAACACAAATGTCAGAACTTATATAATTTTAGTAAGAAGTGCAATTGCCTAGGAATAAAAGAAAATCATGCAAATCTTTTAATCCCTTTGAAGCTCAGAGTCTGTAAGTACATTTCTAAGGAGAGCACATTTCTTTCTGTACCCTACTGGATTTTCTCTGTGAGAAGGATCATTCCTGATTATGAGTTATCTGAAGATCATTCAAAAACTGTAATATAAATAACTGTCCTCTGAGGTTTTATATACATGTACGTGTGTGTGTGTGTGTGTGTGTGTGTGTATATTCATTCCAGTACTGAAAGTTCAAAACAGTTGTTACTGTTTTTTAAAACGGTAATTCTATTAAGACCCTGAACTGCAAGATTTGGTTATTAGCAAAATGATGATGTATCGGCCCACCAAAATGAAAACCTGATATTCATTTTGATAAACAGAAAAAGGTTTGAAATGTCACAGCAGCAAAAACGTTACTGTTATCGTGAGGTTTTTCAGTAGGAGTGTTAACCAATCCTTAAAATAAATGTAAGTAGTCATAAAACCAACTACCAGCACACTTAAATCAATATAACCATTTTCAAGCTCATTCTGTGCACATTATGAAACATGCTCTACTATGCATTCCAACTTTCCTCTTCAACCTTTATAAGTTAGCTTATTTTCCATACTAAAGGAAAACCAGTTTATGTATGCCTTTAGTATTCCATCTCATTTAATAGTTATTCTATAGCTACAACTAAATTAGTCAGTTTTCACAAGCATATATTTTGTAAACACCAATTTCTTGCTAAACCAACAATAACATTTTAATAACCCAGTTTTGTTGCTAACACACTTTTAAAAATGAAATATTTACTTTATATCAATGTTAGGTTCTAATGTACTTTCTTTTCCATTGTCTGGTTTTAACTAATACTTCATATCAGTTTCCATAGTAAGAAACTAGAACTGTCCTCTTCCCTTGATTTGCTTATTTTCAGTTCTGAGCAACTACTGAAAATATTTTGAGGATAAATGCCCTAAAAGCATAAATCATGTATTTCCTTAATATGATGGATTACTGAATGGCTAGGGTCAATCTTCATCATTAAAAAGTAGTATTTCACATGACAAATAAATGTTCCCAACATTTTATGCTGACAACTAAATAAAACCTGAATTCTTTTCACTTATTTGTACAAGGATTATATTAAATACAAACTATCACAATTGTGATCAATTCTATCATATTGTCCACAGTGAAAACCCTGAATAAAATTGTTCTTCAAAAAGGCATGTATGTGGTTTCTGAACTGCAAAATTTCATTTCTTCTAAGTGAACATTTGTTTCTCCCGCATATATGCTTACACCTGCGCACACACGCGCATGCGTGTGCACACACACACACACACATACACACACACACACACACACACACACACACAAATACAGATAATTAAACTACATAGGCTTGCTGCTGTTTTTGCAGGTGCCAGTCCCTGAATCTGTGATATTAAACAGCCCAGTGTCTGGTAATCGGAGCTTCTTCTTCGGAGGTGTCTTCAGAGTTCCAGATCTCTCTTTAACTTTGTATTCTAAAGTGCTGTGAGGTACCCCATAGATCCCTTGTGCTTTGGAAACACTCATTTTCCCGCTCATTACCATTGCAATAGCTTCCTCCATTATTTCATGATCATATTGCCGGTAGCGACCACGTTTTTTCCTTGGTTGTTTATTATCCTTACGGTCTAAGCCGTCTTCTGTGGATTCAGAAGTGCCATCAACAATGCCATTCTTAGTATTAAGACACAAAGGAGAGAGGTCCCCATGCAGAAAATAGGTGTCCAGACTTGAAGGAGTTACAGATGCAGAACATTCCACTTTGCTCTGTTTGGGGAATATGGTTTTCAGTTTTTGAAGGGCTGATCCTTCTAAGACTGATGAGGTTTTGGAAACATGGTATATGACATCCAGAAGTCCAGCATTCTCATGCTGTTTAGGAACAGCACTGATCCTCAGCTGAGGAATTTTTAATTGCACAGCTGGAGCTGACATTTCATACTGTACACTTTCATTTTTTTCTTTAAACTGAGAGACCATTCTTTGTAAAGTTAACTGGTGGAGGTAATTGGAAGCTGTTGGGAATCTTAATTCTGAGGTTTCAAGTAGACTAAGTTTATTTTTTTCTATGCACTCTGCTTGAGCTTTTGCCCACAAGGCTACTTTTTGCAGCACGGCACAAGGCTCTGGACTGTCCTTGTAAGAACAGGTGTCCTTGAAATCTTGAGTTTTGTTTTTAAAGAGCGCAGGGTTTCCTGCTGGTAAGGCTTCTAAGTGGAGAAGTAAAGTTTTTTGAGGTATGCCATAAAGGATGCCTGCTTTATTAATGTCCAGTGCTCCGGACTGAACGTCTTTCAAGGCTTTTGAGAGCAAACCATCTGCAAACTCAGCACTTCTTTCCACAAAGTCCTCTCTGTTTCTGTGGAGTCTCCTGGATGGATGGAATGAAACGATGGTGAACTGATGCATGAGAGACTCTCACACAGCTATGGAAGGGAAGGGTCCACTCCTTTATTACACTCCTTGCTTAGGTAACATCACTGCTTCTGACACTTTTAAGGCCTTGAGTTGTGGTAGCTATTGATTACCATAGCAAAAGTTAGAGTTCTGGTAGGACCATGTGAGAAAATGATAGCCCAGCTTCTAGAGCAGCCCTTCCAAGAACTTTAAATCCTAGCTCAGGATTTGGTAACTTTGTCATCTGTTTTCAATTCCCTTTTGACAGATGCTCGCAGAGTAACACTTAAAACTTCTCTTTTCACAATCTAACATCCATTGAATGTCCCCATCCTAAAGGAGTTTTGTTAGTAGAAACGTGACGTTACCGCTAAACAAGTAATAAAAGAGTCAACCCCCTTATAGAAACGTTGTTTATAACTATTAAAAAGAACCTTAACACATCCAGGTTTTTTTTAAAAAAAATGCAATTAAAAGTCCTAAATACTATTTCTAATTTCTAGTAAAGTTAGAAGTGTGTGTGACTAGTAGGGGAATGGAAAATAGAAAAATATGCAATGCAAGCAGTTTTTCTGGGGTTTTCCCCCCAAAGGAATAATTCTATTACACAAATGATAAGTGACTGTTTTGACTGGAAAGATGCCAGAATTATAACATGTTACTTCAATGTAATTTCAGTAAATATTTATTACAGCAGCACATTAATCATTCATAAATGGTATCTCAGTAGCATGACATCACATACCATAGTAAAATAAAAATGCAAGAGCATTCTATTTTGGGGGCACTAAAATTATAGTTGGCTTTAATTTTTTTTCTAACATCCACAATCTATTAAAATGTAAAATATTTTTCTTTTTCCAATGGGAAAGGTTTAAACTCATATCAAATAGATTTAATTCGATTACTTAATTTCCTAATTGCATTATGTACATAAGCATTTTATTTTATTTTTAGGAACATGAACTAAAGTTTGGTGATTGTTCTGATAACTTTTCTTTAACAGAAAAAAGTGAAAAACATAAAATGAATTAAATGAATTATACACAAACATACAGTTATGAGTGAAACCCTGGCATAAGCAAAGAAGAGTGTGTCAACATACATTTTATAAAAGTCAATTCCAAAATAAATCTTCACAGTTAAGTCTTACTTCCACCTACTCCCTTTAAAATAAAGCAGAGTAATGCTTAATATGCTTACCCAGATAATGAATTTTCAGAACACGATCCATCATACTGTGATTGTTCCAAGTTTGTTTTCTTCGTAGACAGATCTAGTACTCCATCCCCTATTAACAAAAATGGGGCATATAAAAATAAAAAACATATTCATACTATTATCAATAACAAAATGATAAAGGGCAACTACAAAGACACTCTTATGCTATACATCAATTTCTGTTATTAATCTTTATGTCTTGTGCTATGCAACTCAAGGATGCTGCCAGTACTATTACTGCAAACACCCATTACTTTTTTTTTAAAATTTCAGTTGGTCTCTGAAGCCTGCGAATGTTGCCCTTTTGACTTTTTTATATTTGCTAGTAGCAGGACAGCACTTAAAAACTAAGTAGATCAAGGCTATCAGCAGAATGACATTGTGGAGTCTGAATTAGATTAGTATTGTGCTATGTCTCAACAGTTCCCTGTATTTAAAAACTTCTGGATAGTAAAATCAATTCCACGATTTAAAAATTAGAAAGATTTAAAAATTGTACTTGTGGGAATATTCCAACAGGGGAATATTTTAAAATGTAATGCTCAGCTAATGTGGAATGATGTATTATCAAAAAGAAGCACCGAGAGATATATCCGTAATTAGATACCTTTCACAACCAGCATTACACAGTGGAAACTCAGAGATTAAACAACAAGGACAAAATGAAAAATGGCTCTTTACTACCATGGGACCTATTATCCAATGGTGCAGAGTCCCTTTTACAAAAAAAATCCCATAGCTCAGAATTTTATATTATTTTTTATTTTTCAAAATGACTCTTTGGTGATGAAAATGATGCCTTAATTTCAAGAAGATTTATTTAAACAGAAAAGAAAAAAAATCTCACTAAAATGTCAGGTATTCATAATGAATTAGAATCTTGTATTAAGTCACAGTTTAATAAGTTTCCATTATTGTTAATTCCTGGTATTACCCAAAGAAAACTCAAGGAAAAAGTTCTATTCTATTTTTTACAATAATTATAATAACATATAATCAATTTTGCAATCTAGCAGAAATAAGGATTTTTTTCTGCAAAAGATTTCACTTTCTTCTCCTTTGATGGAAATGAATATTGATTGTGAAGAGCACTTTGTTTCTATGTTTCCTCTTCTTTTCTGACAACTAGAAATCAGAATGAAAATTTAATAGTGTATTCATGTGTGTGTATGGTCCAAAACAATTTAACATTATAATCCTCTAAGCCATTCTTAGCATAATTTCAGTTAAATAAGATGTACAATTTAAATAACTCCCAGTCTAATATATCTTATTAAATCACATTATTAGTATTAGCTGATGGTTTTCTACAACTTATTTTACATATGATTAGGCAATAAAGCCTAATTTGATTATGAGTCTTACCTTTCATCATTTTAGTTAAAAAATAACTAAAATAGGATTCAAACTCAACTACTATAAATGATGTACCCTATGTAAGATGTTTGGATTCAAGGGGAGTTCTGGGTTGTACAACTTGCCTTCTTCCTCAGCTTTTTCCATATATTACCTACTGAATATATTCATCCTTTTTAGCTACATTAAGATGTAAAGTTGCATATTTTTCTGCATGCTTTCCTATATTTAGAGAATGCATGTATTTTTATTTATAATATGTATTTTTACCTTTCTTTCAAATATATTGCTAAAAAAATTAACAGAAAAAAATTCAAATGCAGCAGGAAATTGCAAATACAAACTGCTAAAATTGTGATGATAAGTTTAGAATTTGGGCAGGCACAAATGGAAACAGTTCAATTAAAAGGTATTCTAGTCTTAGGTGTGAAATTTATTAAAAGATTAGAACAGTACTAATTTGAACTCAAATACTATTAGTGATCCAAAAAATTAACCCTGCATTAATAAAAAGTGCAGGATTTTTAAAGGAAGTGTATTAAGATTGGTAGACCTCAAAAACCTTGTCTATTTGATGATAACACCAATAGTGGCACATACAGCAGTTCCAAAACAATAAAGGCATATATGCCTTTACTTTCCAGTCTACTTTAAGATTAAATGAAAACAAGGTGTTTGTACATTTTCATAATTGCAAATCTGATACTTTTTTTTATTCTCATATAAATGAATTGAACAGCATTTAGAGAAAATGTATCCCCTCCTAAAAGCAGATCAACAAAGGAAGTACCAACATGTAAAAGAGCCATATTTAGGCTGTCACCTTACATTCCAAAAAACTCAATCTCTACAGACCTAAAGTGTGCCAAATGTCAAATTGCCCATCTGAGGTACCAAAAGGAGGAAGATGAGCAACAGCTTCTTTCGATGACCAGCAGATGAGAAGACTGCAGTTTGCTGGAATGTTTGTTCTGCTGGTCCTTACTTTAAATAATTCTTGATAAGATTACAAATAAGATAAGGTGTTAGGTGCTCAGGCAGGAAATCTTATTTGCAACAATACAAATCTACAGACATCAGCAAGATGGAGTAGTTTGATTGGAATACACTTTTTAAGACAAAGCTGACTCATAAGAACAAGGTGGAATGGTCATTTCTGCTGATAGTCAGGGTGCACTAAAAAACTCTGTAATTTTATTCCAAAGTATTTAAAAGAAAAAAAAAACTAGCAGTGTTAAGTGAGTAAACAGATTAATTACATGAAATTCTATAACATTTCATAAAACCATTTAAACAAAAAATTCTATTTTAAATAGTTTTTGTATGTGGAAAGGAAATGTATACATAAAAAGAAGTTTTCTAGCTATCCATGAGGTGCAAGTAATCTGCTTTAATAAGCAAAGATAGTGTGTATCATCTGACAATGTTTTCAAAATATACTTGAGGAACAAGTTGTTGTAGCCTCTATCAAATGCGCTCTGTTCATGTTCAATCTGTCAATGCTTTCAGCTCACAAGAGACTTATGTGGAATTAATGGTGGCTACAATATCACAGAAGTCTTATTTTAGCAGATATATGGATATCAAACAATGAATCCCAAACGATTTGAAACTGCATGCTGTCAGTTCCATATTTGATTCAAATATGAGCTATCTTGTCAGAAAATATCAGCATCCCATATATTATCAGTAAAACTTAATTTAGTAGCTAAAGTCCTATGCCCAAGAACTTTGTGTGTCGTGAATTCAAATGATGATGGACTACATTAAGATTGAGCAAAGACGGACTTCCTGTTCCAGCAAGCAGTGCTATCAGCTGAGAGATTCGGGATGCTGAGCTCTTCAGCTGAGTTTCTTCCTGTTTGGGGACCCTAAATGGGCCAGAAGCCGCCCCGGAGAGATGGCAATGAAGGAAGGTAGTCCCAGGGACCTAGGAGAGACGGTGGTCTCCCCAATCAGTCCAGGAGAAGCCTCCCAGAAACCAAGAGGAGAAAGGCTAGCTAACTCCATTGTCTAGCCCCAGCTGCAAGCAAACGGAAGTCAAGAAGCTCTACTTAAGCTGATTGTAAACAGTGTGTTTGAAGCTGGGTAAGAACTAATTTTCTCTATCCTACTTATTTTCCTGAAAAAAAGAATTGCCAAGAAGCAAAAATACCTCCGAGAGTGAAAAAAGGAAGGGATTTCCCCCTCCCTTTTTGGCTATTGGAAGCAGCGAATCTAACTCTTTAAAGAAGAAAAAGATTAGAAAGAAGTGAAAAATGATCCAGCGCTGACACCTACTAGTGGATGAGGACTATAAAAATTATAAAACTTCTGTCTGTGGCCTTCAAAGTCTCAGTAAACACAGCTGCTTAGATAAAGTGATATTTACAGAAACAATGGATGTTTTACAAGAGGAAATATATGATACGCTGCAATCCATTCAAAGGACAATGATCTCAAACCACAAAGAAATACAAAATAACTTTGAAAGTATAAATCAACTTATTTCCAATTTAATTTCACTTCAAAAAAATCCTCAGGAGAACACAGCAGAGATGATTGAATATAAATTAGAGGAAAAAGACTTAAAGATGGACTTTCACAAAATAAAAGAGTATGATTTAATTCAAGTGGAAGAAAAGACAACTTACATTTTAACATCATCTAATGGAAAGAAGAGGGCAAATGCTCAGGACAGAGACATTGATTTACTTTCTACATCTACAGTGACACTTACGATCGTATGGGAAAACCTTTGGATTCAGCAAAGTACATTGATTAAGATTCTGGGCAAAGAAAAAAGATTTAAGATGGAAACCAAGAAAATAGATGATGGGACATATCAGAGAGAATACTTAAAAAAGAAACATGTGTTTGAATATGGTTAAAGAAATAGAAAAAATTGAAACACACCACTCTAAGAGGGATGAAATGTTTTAGATACTTAAATGTGACTGAATTCAAGAAAAGTATATGTGTGTGTGTGCGTATATGTGTGTGTGTGTGTGTGTGTGTATATATATGCTTTGTACTGCTTTGAATAGAGTTAAGGGATTAGATGACTAGATCTATTGAATAGAATGTCTAAAGATTAAATATATTCTTAACTATGATTAAAAAGAATAAGAAATTTGAGAAAATAAACACTATTAATCTAGGAGGGATATATATTCTAAGTACTATGTTATTTCTTATGTTCCGTTATTATTGCTCTCTTCTCTTCTTTTTTATTTTTTATTTCTTTTTCATTTTTTTTTTCATTTTACTCTTATATCCATTACTTAAGAAACGTAAAAATGTGAGATGGCTTATATGGAAAAAATAGAATTAAGTCTGTCAATGTAAATGTAACTAATCGTTGAGAAAACCTTTACCAGTAAGAATATTTAGAATTTGGCAGGAGAAATAAACTAAAATAAGGATTGTAACAGGATCGATGATAAGGCACAAATGACTGAAAAGAAATGTACCGTATATGCCGGCGTATAAGACGACTTCTGGAAGCGCTAAACTTGGCGCCAAAGATGGGGGTCGTCTTATACGCCGAGTCGTCTTATACGCCGGAAATACTGGTAGTTTCCGGCGTATAAGACGACGTTCTAAGAATGCAGCTCGGCGATAAAGACGGGGGTCGTCTTATACGCCGGGTCGCCTAATACGCCGGCATATACGGTATTAATATGATGATTATTTTTTAGGAATATTGGAAAAAATATATACTAAATTGCCATTTATTAAAACAATAAGAATTGTATTAACTCAATGTTTTCAAAAAAGGATATTTCGGGGAAAGAGGAAATCAACCAAAATTAATATATGGAATACAGACTATAGAAATCAATTGTTAAGGAATGCTTTTACAAATGTAACCCAGACAACACACTGTTTACCAATTATTGAGTGACTTATGCTTGTGTAAAAAATTAATAAAAAATATAATACAAAAAGAAAAAAAAAGATTGAGCAAAGACATAGGTTGCAGATTCTTATAACACTCTATTTAAGAGTATGACTAGCACCATAGTCACATTTTCTTCTCTTTTTCTTTCTCTGGAAGTTTTACCAACTTGCCAAGAAAGAGTTCCTGAAAAGAGGGATGTTTGCAGCCACTTGGTGAATCATGAGTGACAACCGTTATAACAGGCCATTTAGCAGTAGCATTTAGCAGTAGCATTGAGCAGCCACTTGCCTCTAGAATTGTTGGCAACTGTTCATGAGTAGACACCTAAATGATTCTAACTCCTTGCCAGAAGAGCAGTTCGAGAGTCAAGAAACAAACCAAGACTGGTTGTACGTTTTCTTTTTATTGTAAAAATAATTTCCCATTCAAGGCAGCAATTGCAGTGTGTGATACAATAGGCTATGAGACTTTGCTGGAGTTGTGTGTCCAGGGGAGTTAGCAACAGGGAACTGGACCTAAGGCTGTGTACAGAAACAAAAGCCTAAATATCAAGTCCCCTCAGCATGAGAGGCCCTCAGGTCAGAGAAAAGACCTATCCTACCAACCAGAAGTGTGCAAGAAACTTTCATTTCCCAGTAACTCTATTAGGCAAAATGCTGTCCCTGATCCTGAATCTAGCACCTCATTTCTGCATTGGTGTCTAAGGCAGGATAGATGGCAAATAAAACCACTGAAAACAGCAATAACCTCTGCAGGACCTGGTTCCAAAATGTTAGCAATTGTGTTTAACAGATATTTCACTGCTTCAGCAATTATTTCAAAGTCATAGAAACAATTCACCCCATCGCTAAAGTCCTCAATCATTTCAACTTCAGATTCGGTGAGCAGAATGAAAAAAAATGCTAAACTAAATTCATGGATGGCACTCAGTGCGATCTATAGGTTTTCAAAACAGATGTTCTAGACTCAAGTCTAATCTAATTGCAATAACATAATTTTCAACACTGTTTTCAGATATATTATAACATTCATTTTCAACAATACCAAATGAACAACTCAAAGGGATTACCTTGCTGATCATCCTGTTCTTGTGTTCGATTCACAGTGAGGTCTAGAGGGCTATCTTGTTCTTCCTGAAGTAGATTTTCAGTTTGGTTCATTTGGAAATCTTTACGTATCAGATTCATTTCATATGATGAACCATTTCGATTTTCTTGCAGTTTACTATTTTTTGAAATATATTCAATTGCAAATTGACGGATCATCTTTTTCATTAATTCCTGAGCAACAAGCGGAATGTTAGGATCACAGTTCTGAGGAAGATCTATAGGAAGAAAAGAGGAACTGTTTTTCATATATTTTAACAGGTCTAGGACAACTCAGCACAGGAATCTCAGTGTGGCCATCTCGCCACCACCAAGTTGCCTCTGCCAATTTACCACTGCCAAGTCATCACAGGACAACTCAACATGGCCAATTCACTGCAGGGTCAACTCACCACAGGGAGTTGGAGGGAGACCCAGGCAGGCAGGCAAGCAAGTGGGCAGAGGGATGTTTGGGAGTTTCCCACAGAGGAAGAGCCGGGCAGGCGGTTAGCAAACAGGTAAGCACAGTACAGAGTGCAGCTGGGGGCTGCCCATTTTCTTACTTGTCACTGCTGCCACAGACCATTTGGCAATGGTGGCAGTGTTTGGGCCATTTGGGGGTGGTGGTGGGGGGGGAGGCAGGTGGCAGGGAGACATCTAATTTTCACACACTCCACTGCACCGAGTTTAATTGTTTGCTTGAGTTTGGAATGGTGGTAGCAGCGGGGTGTGTGAAAATGGATGAGCCCAGTCTCCTCAACCTCCCCTGGTAGTCCTTGTCCCTTAGCCCCAAATGTTTGCCCACTTCAGCTTGGTTCTACAATTTTAGTGATACACCAACAGGTATTTCAGCGCAATCTGAATGATAATTTATTCCATATGAAAGAGCCAAATTAACATAGATGGAAAAGTATCTGGTTTATAATATCTCTAATTCAGAAGAAGCTTCTTTGGATATTTTATTGTTTAATTTTTACTGACAACTGAAAGAACATAGATAGTTCTTTGTGCAGATCTCCACCAATGCATTCTGAATTATTCCTATAATTCCTTTTGTGCTTTTCAGGACCATTCACAAAAAAAACAAAATAATGCAAGAACTAATTTAATCAACAATTAAAGCATTGCATGCCAAAAAGAGCTTACTTTTCAGCCTATCAAGTACTTGTATTGTTGCAAAACCCCCCACAAAGAATAGAGGAGTCCAATTCAAAGCCTGTGGACTCCAACTGAAAAGTTCCTAGTATATTAAAAGTGGCTACTTTTCAGAGGGTTATTTTTTCTTGTAAATATACTGCAGATTACAAGTAATTCTTGCTTACCAACTGCCTTGTTTAGAGGCCATTTGAAGTAACAATAAATAAAAAAAAAAACTAGCTTTGCAACAAATTTTCTTGTTTACAACTGTTGCAGTGTCCCATAGCCACATGCTTCCCAACCAGCTTAAAGTTAATGGAGAACTTGAAAGTTCTAAACATGAAAGTTGTCCGGGTGTTCTTGGGCCAGTCATTCTCTCTCAGCCCAACCCATCTTACAGGGTTGTTATTGTAGGGAAAATAGGGGGAGGAATGAATATTATATATGTTTGCCCTTTTGAGTTACTTATAAGATAATAAAGGCAGAATAAAAATCTAACAAAATAAAATGAATAAAGTAAAATTGTAAGTTGCAGTTATGTAATTTTTTGCCTAAAACTATGGTGACTCACATAATGACTAAATGGGAAGTAAGGCTGCAAGCCTATTGTGATATTATTTTTTTATTTACCAACTGCAAAGCTTAGCTCTACAATTACTGGTCCCTCTTATGGCTGCTAAACAAGGACTACCTGTATTATTTATATCATAGAGCAGTGGTCCCCAACCCTTTGGGCATTAGGGACTGATTCGGTGGAAGTTTTTCTGCGGATGGAAGGGGACATGGTTTTGCACACTGCTTGCATTCTACACATATGGGGCTTTGTTTGTTTGTGTATCCATGTTTCTGCCAGTCTGTGGCCTAGTGCCAGTCTGTGGCCCAGGAGTTGGAGACCCCTGCCACACAGAATAAAAATAAAACTTTGGAACTAAGAATTTGACTTCAGTTATGGCAAGTAGGGTAATGTTACCTGCTTGCCATAAAGAGGTAGCCCAAAATATTTCAACTCAGTTTTAAGTCTTGATATCTCTTCATGGTGAAATTGCATTAATAATTTTATGCTTTTTATTTAAAATATTTTTTCCATTTTTCTCCTACCAAAATGTTTTATAAACTATAACAGAAAACAAATCAGCTGACATCATAACAGAATGTAAAAACTTACACAGAATTGGTAAATGTAACATAAATTAACCCTATAACATTACATTTGAAATATACAATTCCTGGATAAATATATAGGGTTATTGTTTTCTGGTGCTAAAAAGAATATAATGTTACAGCTTCAGGGCAGAAGGTATTAGAATTTGAGTCTGAGATGCTTGTTATGCTGAAATATATGTGGAAAATATTCTGTATAATCTATAAGTAAAAGCCCTACAAATGTTTATGTCCTTTTCCTAATGATTTATACAGATTTCATTTTATATTTTTTACTCTATAATCTTGTGCTATGAGATTAATTCCAAAAGCATTTATATAAAAAAAACAAAAGCACAAAATGTGCTGATAGTGTATGTAGTATGCAATGAAATTTAAATACTCTTTTGAGTATCTTTGTCCATAAATTACCTTTGTTTTTTTTAAAAAACAAGCAGAATTAAAAATAAAAATAAAAAAAATGAATTTTATGTAGAATTCCTGCTGAGCATTATATATCACAATACGAAGTCAATCCTTACCTTCCTTACGAAAGAGTGCATTTAGGTAATTCTCTGCTTGGCACTCAATTTTATCAGTGTTGGACTGGCCCTGAGATGACAACTCCTCTGTAGGTGTTGACTGCAAAGAACCAAGAACTGCTGTAGGATCCTAAAATGAATAAAGAAACCCCACTTTTCTAAGTAAAAGCAAATCTTAATAGAGGTGAGCAAGAAAACTATATATGACTATATATTTATCAATGTTTTATATACCATAATAGTTTAAATAACATTGGAAATTTGGACAAAATGTGTGTCAAGAGTTAAAAGATCATATACTTACACTGACTATTTCTTTATGCAAATTACAAAAGGAACATTTTTCATCCATAGACCAGTCAGTCACTTCTTCTGGTTCACAGTCTGGGGATGGGGAGCAAAGGAAGAGAGAGGATGACAGAAATTAAATATCATTCCAACATCTAAACTATAACCACAACTTCAAATTTATTCCCCTGCCCAAAATAAGCTAAGTGGGAGATGTTTTAGATCCTTTGACTAGGAAACTGGATGCTAGATCTGGATCAACATAGTTCTGCTCAAAATTTCAGATCATTCTCTTATTCATATATAAGGCAAATTTATCTTCATAAGATAGTGAGCAACTACAAGCAGACTAGCTCATAAAGTAAACTATGGTACACTAAAAGAACACAAGAACTATCATTCTATGTGCTAATGCGAATACAAATTCCTCTGCATACCTTCTTACAGTTATGGTAAACTGACTTATTTCACTGTTCTATGCTTAGTAAATAATAGACTCTTTTCATTGTCATTAAGATCTTAGTTCCTTCTCCAACCTCAGTAGGAAGTTTTTAGGACTTTTCAATTCTCCTAGATTACTTTTTCTATAAATTTGCTTCTTAGTGGATTCTGCATGTATATTGCTTGAAAAATAACTGTGTTGACAGAACTCATCTGGCTATTTGATCCTTGAGAATAAGTAATGATCTGCTTCACTAACTTTGCCTAATGCTCTGGTTCTCCATTATAAATCTCTTCATATACCAATAAGACAACAATGTTTAGTGTTTTTTTTTAAAAAAAAAACACTGTCAGAAATGCAGCTCTGATTTCTGTGAAAAAAGTTCCTGGTATCCCACATTAACTCTTTCTAAAAAACCTTAATTGAATTGGCTGCCCATTTCAAGTACATGATTCTGGCTAACAAATCTTACAAATGTATCATAAAATGGAGATAGCAACATTCTGAGAATATTCTATACAAAAAGAGTCTAGCCACATCTAATGGTATGTCACTGATCTCATAGGATTTGTGTGTATGATTAAAGTGCACAAATCCACTTCTAAATTTATGTTTATGTACAGTGAATATATTGCCATTGGACTACAAGTTTAAAATTGTCTCCTGTCCCAATAAAGTACAGTTGCATCTTGTAAGTTAAATGATCTTTTCATTGACAATATTTTTGGCTTAAGCTGCTTTTATTACTTTTGTATATTGCCATCTCCAACAACTCTTGGTAGTTAATAGTACTAACATCAAAAACTCAACAACACATTTGACTAATGCTATTAGAATTATCCATTTTCTCCTTTAATCCAAATGTGGTACTTCATAAAAGTACTCCACTGAAGGTTCAAAAGCAAAATTCAGTGTGGTCCTAGTTAAAGCAGAATATAATCGTTCCAGTGTCAGAGGCAGCATCCTTTCTTTACACTTGGAACAATGAAAAATGTTGCTAACAATGGGCTGATTATCTCTACTTTAAAGAAGTTCTATTTCTATAGCATTTAAACATAAGGCATATTTCTGTTACCTTATGATAGGAAATGCTGAATTGTATATGACATCTTTTTCTTCGCTTGTTCAGAACCAAATGCCAAGTTGTTGCATTATGAAGAAAACCTTCCTATCACATATCTTCCAAATCTTTCCCTATAATCTCATTTTTTTAATTGTGCTAAGCAGAGAGCTGGATTCAATCACCCCTCCAACTTTTATGATTTTATGTTTCTACTTGCTCTTATTCTCCATTTATGCTATACCTGGGGTTTCTCCCCCCCCCCTTCCATTCAATTATGTCTAATTCTTGGAGACTACCTGGACAAGTACCTGCAAGGTCCTTCAAAGTTTTTCAGAAGTGGTTTGCCATTGCCTCTTTTCTAGTGCTGGGAGAAAGTGACTGGCCTAAAGTCACACAGCTGGCTTCATGACTAAGGTGGGAGTAGAAGGGGCATTGTCTTACCTGAACGCCTTTTCTCAGCATGAGGAATGTAGAATACATGAATGGGTTGATTTAGTCTTCTAGCCCAATCAGACCAAACAATCAAAATTGCCACGCCCCTGCAGGGTCTGAGCATGCCCCAGTTTCGAAAGGGCGAAATGAATGATTGTGTGACGTGATGGCTCTGAACTGCTGACAATAACCTAACTGCTAGTAATGATCAGGGAGGGGGTGGATTCTACATTCCTCATGCTGAGAAAAGGCGTTCAGGTAAGACAACGCCCCTTTTCCAGCATGTAGAGGAATGCAGAATCCACGAATGGGACTTACCAAAGCCCCTATGATCCCATGGGTGGGAAGCAGGTTGGTTAAGTGTTGGTGCTGAAATGGACCACTTGTTGTAAAACCCGACGGCCAAAAGCGGCCTCTGCGGAAGCAAACTTGTCGAGTTTGTAGTGGCGAATGGTGAAGGGGACAACCGTGTAGCCGCCTTACAGATGTCCTCTATGGATCCCTGAGTCTGCCACGCCACCGACGTGGAAGTGCTATGAGTAGAGTGCGCTGTCAGGCGGCTTGGGACAGGTAAAGAGGAAGCCTGGTAAGATTGAGCGATACAGGCCTTGATCCACCTGGCTATAGTAGAGGAGGAAACCTTCTGTCCCTTGGAAGCTGAGTGGAAAGAGACAAAAAATGCCTCCGATTTGCGAAAGGAAGCTGTCCTCTTGATGTAATGAAGCAATGCCCTACGTACATCTAGGTAATGCCACTGTTTTTCTAGTATGTGAGAAGGATTGGAACAAAAGTTTGGTAGTACAATGTCCTGAGCCCGGTAAAACAGTGTATTCACCTTGGGAATGAATGAGGGATCTAACCTCATCACCACTCTGTCCTGATAGAAGGTACACAGGTCTTCCCTAAGTGAAAGAGCAGCCAGCTCTGATATGCACCTCGCCGATGTGATGGCTACTAAGAAGGCCACCTTGTGGGACAAAATGTGAAGAGGACAAGACCTTATAGGTTCAAAGGGAGACCTAGTGAGTACCTGCAGAACCAGAGGTAATTCCCCAGATGGATACCTGTGTACTACCGGAGGCCTAGTGTTGGAGACTCCTTTCATAAAGGACCCGACCCTGGGATGATTGGACAATGGAGTGGCATTGGCACAGGTGAACACCGTGGAAAGAGCAGCCACCTGTCTACACAAGGTGTTGGACGCTAAGCCCTTATCCACTCCATCCATAAGGTATTCAAGAATCACTGGAATAGTGACAGAAGAGATAGACAAACCCTTACAGATACACCAGTCACAGACGTTCCTCCAAGTGGCATCATAGATCCGGTTCGTCACCAGCCGTCTGGAAGCTTGGATCATAGCTATCACCCTTGAAGAGTAAGATCCGCACATCAGGAACTGGCGCTCAGATGCCAGACGGCTAGTTGTAGCCACTGTGGGTCCGGATGGCATATGGCCCCTTGCGTTAGAATTATCCTCTCTGGAGGGATTTGCCAAGGGGGGGCTACGGCGAGGTTCACGAGATCTGCGAACCATGGACGCCTCGGCCAATATGGGGCCACAAGGATTAGTTCCGCCCGTTCCTGTAACAGCTTCCTGATGACGGCCAGGATCAAGGGAAGGGGTGGGAATGCATATAGAAGGCCCGCCGGCCAAGGGCTGCGGAGGGCGTCTGCTCCCTCCGAACCCTGGGATGGGTACCGAGATAGAAACCGGGGAAGCTGGGTGTTCATCGGGGATGCAAACAGGTCGACTTTGGGCCGACCGAAACAGTGAGTTATCTCCCGAAAGAGACGGGGATGTAGACACCACTCCGAATGATCTATCATAGATAGACTCAGAAAATCCGCCTGGTTGTTTTCCACCCCTGAGATGTGTTCCGCCTTTAGGGACAACAGATTCTGTTCTGCCCATGACCCCAGACACTGGGCCTCGGACATTAGAATCTGCGATCGAGTGCCGCCCTGCCTGTTGACATGGGCCTTTGCCGCCACGTTTCTGTCAGAACCAGCACGTGGCGGCCCGCCAACTTCTTGTGGAAATGGCGAAGTACTAGGTGTATGGCTATGAGCTCTAACCAATTGATATTTTTCTTGAGATCCTGTTGAGACCACCGCTCCTGGGCGATTTGGGACTGCAGATGTGCCCCCCATCCAAACAGACTGGCATCTGTGGTCAAGGTTACCCGAATCGGTTCTCTGAACAGGGATCCTTTGGACAATGCTGGGGACAACCACCAGATGAGGGACGTGAGTGTCTGTGGTGGGACTCGCACCCTCTATGGAAAACATGCTACACTCCGTTTCTGGTAAGGGAGTAGAAACCACTGGAGTTGTCTCGTATGAAGCCTGGCCCAAGGCACTATGGCAATACATGAGATCAGTTTCCCTAACAGCTGTGACAGTAGGACCAGGGTTACATGTTTCTCCTTGCGCACCCTGATGACCATCGTACGTATGCTGAGCTGACGCTCCTGAGACAGGAAAACTCGGCACTGGTTGGTGTCTATTATTGCGCCTAAGTGGAGCAAACGGTTTGCTGGGATCAGATGGCTCTTTGGGAAGTTGATCATAAATCCATGATCCTGGAGTGTCTTGATCATCAGTGCCACGTCTGATCGGGCGTTCAGTGCCGAGGATGACTGGATTAGGATATTGTCCAAGTAGCACTGAACGCGGACTGGTACCAACCTGAGCTGTGCGGCGAGAACCACCAGGATTTTGGTGAAAACCCTTGGAGCTGACGATAGGCCGAATGGCAGGGCCCTGAACTGATAGTGATGGTTGGAATACCTGAATCTGAGAAAACGCCTGTGATTTGGATGTATGGGAACGTGTAGGTAAGCTTCTGTCAGATCTATGGATGTAAGAAAGTCTCCGCCGAATACTGCCCAGAATAGAATGAAGAGTTTGCATCTTGAATTTTTGGTAAATTAGGTACTGATTTAGAGCCTTGAGGTCTAGGATCTCCCTCCATCCTCCCGAGGCCTTCGGCACCACAAATAGGATGGAGTAGAAACCTAATCCCCATTGATCTGGGGGTACCCGCTCTATTGCCTCTATGTTTAACAGATGACGAATGGCCTCTTCCATGAGACCTTGTTACACAGGATTTCGGAATAGGGGGCAGATGAAGCGCCGAGGGGTGTGTGTGAGGAA